TTCTTTAGACTATAAATTCCACGTGCTGCTTTGAGTTTCAGTGTTTGCTTGATTATATGCCACGAGCAGGTCAGAAACCTACATTCAGACATTGTAAAGATTGAGAAGGTGATGATGTGCAGTAACGTGTTTTCATTTGGCTATATTTTGGTTTTTCCTGATGGTAATTCTAAATGTTTTAATTTGGGTCCTGACAGAATTTTCTGGTAATTTGATGGCTGGGGGAGTTTTGAAGGCCTTCTCTTTTTGAATAGCAAAATGGGATTGGCGGGGGTGGGGGTGGGGGCTCTTTGAAAAGATGACCTTCTGAATTTAATTCCAGATGTGGTATGGTAGTAGCTGCCTATGGCTAGTAATTCCCTGAATTGTTAATAAAATTAGAAGTGCTGGAAGGTGGGGTGGAAGGCGGCCCAAACACCTGGGTCTGTCCTCATCTCAGCCATTAAGCTCTGAGATTGGGGAAATGGATTTATAGATTTTGAAGCTTAGTTTTCTTACTTGCGATAGAGAGTGTCTTACCTAGCCAGTGATTCTGATTTCACCTCTTAGCAACTAATAATTGTAGAAACCAAAAGATCAGGGTGTGTGTGCTTGGTTAATAAGCGAGGACGGGCTCCCGAGCGGCAGAGATCTTAACCGTGGTTTGCAGTGACACTTTGTTCAAAGATCAGATGCCAAGGAGCTGCCGCAGAACAGGCAGATGGACAGAGACCCCGAAGTTAGGGGTTTGCCCTGTGCCTTGTTTTATTAATACAAACATTTCAGTGCTTTCTTGATGAAAATGTTAAAGCTTTTAAAAAATAGAAACATTTTCTTTTTTTCTTTTTAAAGTAAAAGGTAATTAAATCAGATTTCCATTTGACACTATCTTCTCTGTTAAAATGTTCCGGTACTACTGTCACGGCAGGTGTGTATATAAATAGAGTTCACTTTGCTCTCAAAGCAAATTGTGGGAGGAATGAAGAGGACTTTCAGCTTTCTATAATGTCAGCTAATTGAATTTTTACATGAAGGAATATTGCTTGATTACACTTTTTATTACTGTCATTGTTTAATAATATTTTGGCCCTGATAGACCAGTTTCATTTGCACTATTAATTTTTAAATAAGGAAGTTATGTTTTTAATTTTCTAAATTTACTGCTAAGCATTAAAAAAAAACCACAGTTGATTATTGAAATTTACCAGTAATTATTTCACTGATCAATACTACACGAAAGAAAAAAAGACCTCATTGTGTAGATTATGCATCATTAGTAAATATCTGTTCAGAAGATAAAGTTCCATGTCGATCTGAAAAAGGACCTTTAGTTTTAAATTGAAACTTAATCCTCTGGCTGCCGGAGCTGCTTCCTTCCTACCCCCCTTAGGAAAAAAAAAATCTCTCCTTATCTTTTTGTTTTGTTTTGTTTACTTGCTTTACTAATAGCTTTATAAATAACTATGTGCTTTCTGGGCTAGTAATAATATATGGCCAGCAAATGGGAAGAGTTTTTCTTTTCTTTTACCACCTGTGTGTCTCTCCGGGGAAGAATGGTTTCTCGGCTTGCTCATTACCATGGATAAAGCCGTGTCTGCGGGATTGAATTTGTAGAGACCTTACATGTGTGGTCACTCAAATATTATCTGAATACAGCCATAGATGATTTTTGTGGGGTGTTCATTTTCTAATTTTGCTGCATTTGCAGGGCTGATTTACATGCTGAATATACATGTATTTGACACAGTGAAACTGCATTTTAGCTTTGCTTTCTTTTTTTTTTTTTAATCTTCCTAAGGGAAATTTAGAATATTGTGTGTGATAGTTTATATTTACGAAACAGATTGGCATTATATTTTAGTGAAAGTAAAGCGAAACAGATTGGCATTATATTTTAGTGAAAGTAAAGCGAGTGTATTTTATTTGTTTATTGTATTTTAATTTTTACAGCTGTTTATTGTTTGTTTCCTATTTCATTCACCAAAACAACAATCACAGTAAATAAAGAAAAATATATATTGATGTAGCTTTTTTTTTTTTTAAAGGAACAATCAAAAGGGGAAGATTTTTTAAATGCCTGGGTTAGTGGATCTTTATTTTTAGTTTGCTTTAGAGTTGCTTAAGATCAGTGTTTTCTCAACTGACCATACCTTATCTGTCTGTCCCCATCCTTCTTTTTCTCTTTGCTATCCCTAACTGGATGGGACTGATGGGAACGACATGTCTCTTCAGGAGCTGGATGAGGTATTGTGTTTTGAATATTTTTGTATGTTAGTTAATAAGATTATGTCGGATTTTTCCTGAAGTCTTTGGTCATATACAGAACGCTAACAGAGCTTATATATATTTTAGCATTTACTTTGATTACCTATAATTGTTGTGCTTAACAATTTAATCCTCAGGATTTATTTAATATGCTTTCACACCAGGTAAATTGGTGGCTTAGGGAAGGGCTTAAGGAACTACTATTTACTGCTCTTAGGAAAGTGTTTCGACTTTGGCAGCAGTAAAGATGGAGCCTCTTCTTGCACTTCCAAAACCCAGATTGTTTTTAGGATTATGTGTGTAACTCACATGGAGTACGGAAGGACATGATGTCTGGGGAGAGCCTGAAGGAAGGAGGGCTCAGGCCCCGGGGACCCGCCCAGGAGGCTTCGCAGCCCTGTGTTTGGGGTGAGGCTGGTGAGCCTCCGCGCGTGCTCACTGAGCTGGGGAGTGTGGGGTCTGCTTTCTGCCCCCTTCCCAGCAGCACACTTTTGGCCTTTTCCTGACTTACTGACTGTTCACCCAGAAGATGAAGAGGGTGCATATTCCTAGCACTTTATTCTAGAAGCGCTAATGGAAGGGTCGAGGGGCAAGGAGATTGAACTGTGGCTGTCCATTTTGTGTCTCCATCACTCGTTTCAGCAGCAAAGGGGTAAAAATATTTTTCCTGAGGGTAGACCTTTTAAAAAGAGTAATGGAGGGGGGTATTTTTTGTTTTCGGTTTTTTTTTTTTTTTTTTAGAAGTCTGACCAGTGAGCTGGGATTAGGGTGACTATCTTCAAAACCATTGGGGCTCCTAACTAGAAGATAAAGATCTACCTGTAAGCTTTAAAATCCTTTTTAACTCGTTGATAATAGCAACAGACAGGGGACAACCTCAATATCCCGCATCGAGAACTGGTGAAATAAGTGAGGTAGATCGTGTCCTGATGCTCCGTCCCTCCGACCGAGCGTAGCCCTTCCCCGCGGGCCACAAACCCCTGAGCTCCCAGACCCGTGGCTGAGTGCAAAGGAGCCTGGGGCCAGATAGCACGCATGATGTGATTCCCGCTCTCTCGGTTTCTGATTTAGAGAAGAAGGACTCATATTGGTGCTTGTGTGTACTTAGAAGGTTTCTGAAGAGACAACAGTTTGCAGTGGACACCATCCAGGAAAAGTCTGGGATGGAGGAGAAACTTCCTTTCATTGCTTACCTTTTTCTTAGGTTGGATATCCGTTTTTCAAACATGTGCATGTATTACTTTTGTCATTAAAAAACAATTAGGATTTAAAAGCAGCTACCCTTAAGCGGGTAGCTCATTGAGCCACGTGCCATGGCTTTGCTGACCAGCCTTGAGCGGCGTGAAGGTCTGGGGCTTAGGGGGGAGGCCTTGTAGAACAGATGTTCCCCCTTGTTGAACAGTTCGGAGATACGGGCCTTATGGCCCCCAAAGGGAAGTGTGCGATGGGGGACAGATAGCAACAGGACAACTTGGGTTGAAGAAGCGTTGACCACTGTCCACACGGGGATCGCATCTAAAGTCAGGGTACTCAGGATTGGCCCTCTGAGCCAATTTCCAGTCTTTCCTCCTTCCACTGTTGGAGCTAGCAGGCCCTTCTGCTTTTCTTCTTAGCTTCTGGGTGTTTAAAGGGGCTCTCCACATTGTCATCAGAGACCCTGCGTGGAGAGCCCCTTCGCCACACACAGCTCACGTGCTGTCGGAATTCTCTGGACTCAAAGCCCAGTCCCCGGCCCTGTGCACGGGCCTCCTCATGCTCTCAAGCGCTTCACTTGGCCCTTCGTGTCCTTTGTCCAGACCCATTCCATCTTTTATGGAGTGTAGCTTCCAGAATTGCATTTTATTTACTTCGTTCCATCTCCTTACTGGTGACTCAGCTAGTTATAATTGTATACTTGTTACTGCTAAATTCCCAGGTGCTGAGTGAGGTAGGGGCTGGGGATGTTTGGGAAGGGTGTCCAGAACCCCGCCTCACCGGAGCTGCAGGGGGCTGCAAATTAGTGCCTTCTGGGAGTGGTGAGCGTGACCACCTGGTCCTGGGTGTGAGGTAGGTGGAAGCACACCCCATTGTAGTTGAGGTCTGGGCAGACTTTGCTGACTGCACCCCTTGGGTCTCCCAGAGTAGAGCCATCCTGTTCGGTGGCGCTCCGTAGTGTGTCCGCACTAGACTGTCATTCTGCTTAAATCAGCTTGAAAGTCTGCAGCCTGGGGGACCACTCTTCTTCCTTCTCCAGAAGGACCAAGTGTGGTGTCCCTACTCTCTTAACCCAGAGAAGTATCTGGCCCTCTCCTTTGCTCCCTGCTCTAATCTACTTCCTCTTGTATAACAAAGTCATCTCCCAAGCTGTTGGGTTTTTAAAATTCATAATAGGACGTAATAAAAAATTACAAGAAGTAAATGTCAAGCTCTCCAACCACGTAGCCTGGGCAGCGGGGAGTGATATAGTGGGGACATGGGGGCCCCAGAGTGGGCCCACTGGTCACCTGCTGAGAATGTCCGTCATGGGGGAGCCGGCCGGTGGTAGGGAGGAGGCAGGGGCTCATTGTCCATATTTGTACAACGGGGCAGTCCCCTCCAAAGACTTGTTGCGATACAGAGATCAATTTAGTGGAAGGGCAGCACTGACAACTCAGGCCATCATTGCTCCCTACTGATTTTTTTTAAGGATGTGTATAATAATTGAGAAGAAAGGAAAATCAGTGAAACTAGCAGCATTTATATCTGTCTGGATGGTGTGATTCTCTGATTTTTTATTTCTGTATTTTTTTTATATTTAAAAAGGTGTCTGTTTTGAACATTTATTGTTTCATAACCAGAAAAAGTAATCACTATTTTAAAACTTTCACAGATTTTAAAAAACACACGGTAGTGCTGACATCCTTTGATCGAGTTATGCCTGTGGCCTGACTTCATCATATGCTCTCCTAATTCTCTCATGTGGAAGCGAGGGTGGCCGGGCTATAATTTTCAGCGTCCCTTCTGGCCTTTTTAACTGTTCATTGCCACAAGCGATCCAGAACTGTCGGTATTGTTTCTTGTTGCCAATGCATTATGCCTGAATGTAGTTTATTTATTTTATTTTTAGAAGTAGGGTCCGGGGGGTGGGAGGGGGGAGTGGGTCTGACCATGCTAATCTCAACAGAGGCTTTGCCTTGTCCTTAATCTTACAGTACACTACTCAGGGTTTTCTAAGAGTAGAGAGGCTCTATATTCGGAGCAGCCAGATTTATAAGAGTCTGTGTGTGTGTGCGTTCCTTCCGTAGATCAAGAGCTTGTCCGTACCGTCTGGTGCTCTTTTAGGGGCGAATGTCAACGTCCAAAGTGGATCAAGGGCGAAAGATGACTTGAGTGAGACTAGTAAGAAGCCTTTTGGGTGTGCTGTTTTGAGCTTCTGTTGGAATTTTCCTGTGTTGGCAACCCTGGGTTAGGGTCGCACACCCCCACAGTTCTTGGAGGACAGAGCCACAAATCAGAGACAGGAATTCTGATACTCTTATGAGTACAGTTTTTACTAATTTTTTTTTAGTTTAAAAAATAGGGGAAGATATTTTACTTGAGAAGCACAAGTTCATTTAAGAAAAGCTTTAAAGACCGGTGTCCTATATTCAGAGAGGGGACTAAGTTGAAATTCAGCCAGGATGAGTAAAGAGAATTAAAAATCTGGCCATTTTTAAAGCCTGTGTTGGCTAGAATGGCAGCTTGAAAACTGATATGTCCTGGGTCTTAAAAAAATAAGAAAACATATTCTCAAATGTGAAGTGAGGTTTCTGAAACTGAAAGGGTGATTGTTTTGCACTTAAAATGTATTTTTTTAATGTTCATCTTTGTTCCTGTTTCAAATAATTGACATTTATCTTCAGTTGTGTTTACTCTTCTCAAAACAATGTGGTTTTTTAAATTTAAAGTTTGTACTGATAAAATAAATGACACATTTCATCCAAGTGCTGCTGAATTTCTTTTTCACGATAAGCATGGCTATAGACTATGTTAGAGAGGGGACAGGTTTTCCCATTTTTCAAATTGGCAAAATCCTGATGCAGTGTAGGGGATGCTAGGGCCAGCTTGGCCAGCTGGCATCTGTCCCCTATGGGCGGGGGTCTCTTCATTAGCAGGCTTCCTTAGAACATTTAAAGAGAAATGTGTTTGCCCCAGTTTTGACTTACATGCATTTTTGAGGGGAACACAGCTCTTGTGTAAAATTAAGTACTGCTGAAAAGAGGTGAGTCCACTTCAACTGACTTTTCTCATCTGACAGTTTCTTATTAGTTTCAGCTAAAGTGATACTAATTACTATCCAGATAAATTTAGATAAATACCATCTCTGTATCTTTTTAGTTCAGTATATTTGTAAAAACAGTACAAAGTGAGATCCTGAGTTTAAAAGCCATAAATAAAACAAATTATTACGCCATTGAAAATGATACAGTGATAAAACATAGCGGGACGGGTAATAAGCCAGGGTCGCGAGAGCAGTGTCGCCCGTGAGGAGGCGCCGCAGCGGCTCAGCCTTGCTGAGTTTTAAGAGTTGGAGGTGGAGGTTCCCGTTCTGCTCCCGCGGGCCCACGGCTCTGTGTCCAGCACCGCTGTGTGCGTGGCCGCCCCCCCTGCTTTGGTCCCTCTGCCCTGCACGAGGTTGCGCACCTCCTGGGGACTTCGGAGCAGGAGTTGGAGGAACAGACAGCCCCGCTGCTTGCTGTCTGTCCTGCTCTGTCTAGGATGAGTCGGACCCTCATCGCCGCGTCCACAGAGGGTCAGGGAGGGAGGCCACTTTCGCCTGTGCGCTCCCTGGGAGCCTGCCCTGTAGTCCCAGGCACCGCTGGAGGGGGGACTGGGGCTGAGGACTGTGTTTCCTGGTGGTGTTTCAATCTGGAGGCTTCTTGTCCTGATTTGTTTTCTTAGCAAATTGCAGTTCTGTTTCCCGGGCCTGCCAAAGGGCCGGGCTGCTCGTGCAGTAGATGGGGCTTCTGGAGTCCGCCCGCCCGGTGGTCGTCTGTCCCGGGATAGCTTTGTGACCTTGGGCAAGCTCCTTAACTTTTCTGAGTTTCAGTTTCCTCATTTACAGATTGGAATAATAGTTCCTAGCTCACCTAGTTTCTGTGAGGACTAAAACAATACAAAGAACATAAGATCCCTATTAGGGAGCTCTGAAAAGCGAGCTGCGCCTGAGGGTTACCGCTTCGTGGACTCGGCCCCGGATTGCGCAGGTTGGATGACACACGGTTTGTTTACAACTGCAGACGACACCGTGGTCCTGTAGGGTCCACGCGGCGGCGGAATGCTGGTGACTTAATCACGACTCACAGACGCTCCGGGAGCAGTTACGAGGATTCTGGTCCCTTCGTTGTGGTCGTTGCACACGGTGTGATCTGTGAATGCACAGAAGGCCCTAAGCCCCTGGGGGCAGAACTGGGCAAGGGGGTGGAGTGGGGCAGGGCAGATGCAAGACCCCAGTTTGCTTGTAAGAATTTTGCTATAAACTGTTCAGGATTTAGGGCTTATTACTTGAAGAATTTTTTTAATGTAGGTTTTTCCTTACGTTCTGTTTTTCCCCTTTATCTGTGGATTTTTAAATTTTGCCTTGTTCCTTTATTAGAAAAGCAAACCAAGTATTTGCTAAATGAATGAAAAAATAAATTTAGATAAATGCAAGGAAGGGGGAAGAAAAGCAATATAAATTCTTCACCCAATTCTGCAGTATGATTTAGAAAATTTACAAAGTATTACCTATACAAGACTTATATATTGTTTTCCATTATTTTTTGATCATCATTTGGATCTTTGGAAACTGGCAGTTCTAAATTCTGAGCTCTGGAGGCACCTCAGGATTCTTTGAACCTGTTCACTGCCTCTAGGCAAGAGAACAGCTTAACCAAGCCAGACCCACGGTCACCCTCCCCATCTTCCAGGCTTTCTAAGGCAGTGTCTTATGCAGGAAAAATCAACGGGAACGCTCAGTATCATTTCAAAATAAGTGAAAACTTTGCCTGTGGACATTGAGCTGAAGAAAGGAAGCGGCAGTCAGGATTGCAGTCAGATTTTTCAGGATGGCTTTTGCCAAATGGTGGGTAATTTGCTAATCGTTTTAGGCAGTTCTTTCACAGATTTTAACACACAGTTAATGATCTTGTGACCAAGATAACTGGATCAGCCCCATTTCCAAAATAAGCTAAATGTGTGAGAGTGAACCTCGCTCCTGTTGAACGTTTTGTTTGAGTCCATTTGTAACCTAGTGTTTTTTTTTAACTTGTATCTGATTGCATTAGTTTTTGAGGTTCATGCCGTCGTGTGTTACAGTACTAGTACTAAGAGGTCTTTCTGTTAAGGATCTTTTGTTGATTTTTTTTATTACATTTCTATAGCCAGATCAAGTCAAATTCATGTTCACAAGTATGTCCAAGAAAATTAAGAACTGGTGCATGAAAAGATAGGAAAACAGTCCCAAATCCTAGCAGTTTCAGAGCAAGCTTATGATCAGGCAAGTGCACTTACTCCTCCATTTTTTTGTCTTCTTAGGGAGCGACATTTAAGAGGGTGTAAGAGTTTGCCTGTCAGAGTGGAATCTGAATGATGTTTTTTCATGTCCCTTTATTTCCCCGTAGCTTGCTGATGACCGTATGGCTCTGGTGTCAGGCATTAGCTTAGATCCAGAAGCAGCAATTGGCGTGACAAAACGGTCACCTCCGAAATGGGTGGACGGAGTCGACGAAGTAAGTTGAATGTTAGTTTCATGAATGAATGAATGAATGTTAGTTTCATGCTTTCTTATTTCTCTAAGTCATTATGATGCCGACGTCTGTTACGCTCTCTGCCACAAAGACTGATCCGGTTCCACTTGAGTGCACGTCCCTGGAAATACTTTGCTTTAGGTTCCTTGAGTTCACACACCACAAGAAGAGGTGTGTGTGTGTGAGCGATCTTGGCGTTAGGAGTGACTACCTGGATTATAGAGAGAAACTGAAGAGCTGTGTGACGAGGAGGGGTGTTTGAATGAAAAGTTGCTCACGCGTCAGCGAGCCTACAAGTCGGCCGAAGGCTGCGCTCGTACTTGGGTACAGCGAATTGTCTGGGAGGCCGACGACGCCTGGCGGGCATCATTGGGGTCCTGGTGATTTCATTTGTTTAGATACAGTATGATGTCGGCCGGATCAAACAGAAGATGAAGGAGTTAGCCAGCCTTCACGACCAGCATTTAAACAGACCCACCCTGGATGACAGCGGCGAGCAAGAACGTGCCATCGAAATAACCGCCCAAGAGATCACTCAGGTGAGGGTGGAAATGGACCCCGGGGGACGGGCACTTCCCAGCTTCTCATGACCCTCTCAAAAGCCATTACGTGGTGCAGACTTTAAATCAAATCACACTTCCCAACCCCAAGTTCACAAAGGGACATGAGGCCCTGAGTTCCCCCAAGCATCAGCATGTGTTGTAGAGGAATGGGGCTGGTTTTCTCAGTGGTCAGTAGATACCACCACGGACTGAGTTAGACGTGTGTACCTTTAATTGTGTACTAGTGATTACAAATTATTCATGTTAAGAAATGGTCCTCGTAATTGGAAAAGATCGGGAGCTGTTGCCCAAGACTCAAGTATATTAGTATCCTTGAGGAACTTAGTACCCTAGAAGAATTCCTTGTAAAATGCTCAACTTGAGTAACTTTTAAGTAAGCTGACTAGTGTGTGAGCTCTAGTGTTTTACATTTTGTACTTGTTTGCGTCTCCTGGTTGTGATCAGCAGTGGAGGGGCCAGGTGCTCCGGGAGAGCCGTGGGTGTTGGAATGTTTGAATCCCAGCTCTTGGCAGGGTAACAACGCCATGGTTCTCATCCCTCTGACTCTGGTGTTCTCATCTATAAAATGGGAACAGTAATATTAATGCCTGCCCCAGGGTGGGCATGGGGGTTAAGTGAGAAGATGGCAACAGCAGGGCGACACATGACGACGCGTTAGAAGGCGCGCCCCGCATCCTTTCCCGTCTGGTTGGGTCTTTCTGAGGATGTAGAGGAGGCCTCCGGCAACTTTGATCTGGTCCCCTTTCCCGAGGTCCGTCTGCGTGAACAGAGCGGTTGCCGTCCCTGGGACGGGAGTGCGGAGGCGCTGGCGCTCGGGGCCCCTTCCCGGCCCGCTGTGAGCCATGGGCTTGTTCTCCCAGCTCTTCCACAGGTGCCAGCGAGCCGTGCAGGCTCTGCCCAGCCGGGCGCGCAGGGCCTGCTCCGAGCAGGAGGAGCGGCTCCTTCGCAACGTGGTGGCCTCGCTGGCGCAGGCTCTGCAGGAGCTGTCCACCGGCTTCCGGCGCGCGCAGTCGGGCTACCTCAAACGTGAGTGTCACCGGCCGCTCTGAGGGCTTGGGGGTCACGAGAATGCCAGTGCTAGGACTGCGACCGCTTCGGTTTTCATCCTTCTCTTCTGCTGCTCGTTTTCCCTTTCCTCCTCTGCCCTCCATGATTACCCCTGGGGGAACTTCACACCTTCCGGCGCCCACGGAAGCCGCCGCCCCCGCGGGAGGTGCTGCCTGGACTGAGGCTGAGCGCAGGCTGTCAGGACAGCCCACAAGCAGCGAAGCGTCCGGCTTCAAGAATTGTGGGAGAATCCTTCCAGCACGTGTGTGAAGCCTGTAGCTCTCCAGATGTTGGGTTGGGGGAAGCTGCTAACAAAGAGGAGAAATGCGTTGTAATGACGTGAAAGCTTTATATTTCCACAACAACTGAAGTATTTGAGTGCCTGGAAACCTTTTCTGCGAGTAGTTGAACCCCTGGCTGCTGGCTGCTTGGACTAGTGACCCACTCAGCCTACCTTTTCTTCTAGACAGCGGGAAGTCTGGTTGGCCACATCCGCGCTCGAATCACCTCATAAACGGTTCTACTTGCTTGCCGTTGTAATCAATAGTGTCCCCACATACTGAAGAAACAGAAACCGAAACCCAGTCCCCCACCTCTGACAACTGGCATGTTTGTATTTTAATTTCAATACTTCTGAAATTTGATTAGGGCCATTTGGAATTGTTACTAGGGATGCTTCTAGAGAGAAATACTGATTTTTAAAAAAAAATGTTTTGTAACAGCAGTTAGATGAAACGTTTCCGCCTCACTTAGAGACTCTCAGGTGGCTTTAAGTGCCGCGTTGTCACTCATTCGCATCGAGTGAATTGTACATGTGTACAGTGTGATTTTTATCCTGAATAACCCTCAGTGCTTGCATATCGTTACCTGGTTATAATCCTTTACTCTCCCCCCGCCTCTGTTGGAGATAGGCTCCTTTTAAAGCTAAGAATATCTCCATTTTGACTGTTGAGTTTTACTCTAGATTTCCCCTTTTTAATGGTGGAACAGTAACCAGGATGGTTTACGTATTCGAGTAAAGTGAATTCCTATCTGTGATAGGCATGAAGAATCGAGAGGAAAGATCCCAGCATTTTTTTGATACGTCAGTACCACTAATGGATGATGGAGGCGATAATACTCTTTACGACCGGGTACGTGACGGGGCTGCACGACGGGCTGCTGCGCATTTGCGCTCCGCTCTGTTCCTTCTCCTCCTAGACCTGTAGCTTCCGTGCAGTGCCGATGGGGCAGCGCTGCTTGACCTGTACGTCCGTCAGGTCGTTTTTGCGGCAGGTGGAAGAACAGTCATGGGGGCCATACTGTTCCTTCCTTTCTGTAGGCTGCAAGGAGGCCTTGCCATCTGCCTTCCAGAGCCTTCGGGAAAGCAGTCTGCGCACCGCACGTTGGGAAGAACCCAGAGAAGTGCAGGGTCACCCCCGGTGGTTTTGCTGCTCGGCCCTGCGTAGCTGCAGATGGGTTCTCTTCGCGTCCCCTGCTTCAGCCCCTAGTGCTTCAGACTGTCCTGCTTGTTGAGGAATTTGGATCTTTCCTGTCAGGGAAAAATAAGTGCTTATGTGTTGTGTTGATGTGCTCTATAGAAATATTTTCAGAATTCAGTCTTTAGATGGTATCTGCAGCCGTACAGTGTACCATCTGGTGGGGGAAGAGGAGAATCTAAAGCTACAAATCCGGTACTTCTTGTCTCGCTAGGGTTTTACGGACGACCAGTTGGTGCTGGTGGAGCAGAACACGCTGATGGTGGAGGAGCGGGAGCGGGAGATCCGCCAGATCGTGCAGTCCATCTCAGACCTGAATGAGATATTCCGGGACTTAGGAGCGATGATCGTAGAGCAGGTATGCGCTTTACCTTCCTCATCGCCGAGTCTTCCTGCCGTGACATCTGGTCCTTCTGGAGACTCTTGAATCTGCATTCGTGTCGGGAAGCAAAATTTGACCCTCCTCCCCCCATGTATGTGTGTGTGTGTGTGTGTGTGTGTGCGCGCGCGTGCGCGCGTGTGCTTACATGCTTCCATGGGTCTGTGTATGTGCAAATGATAGCCATATACTAATGTCCATTTCCTATAAAACTACTGATAACGTTTATTTTTTTAAGTAAAAGATAAACATGGGTAGACAGTCTTGTGTTCTCTGCCCGTACTTCAAGGATGCTGACGAGACCACCCTACCGGGGCGTCTGGTGGGTTCTGCCCCCACTCAGCAGTGATTCTGGAGGTAGATAAGGTTTCCCTTCTAATTTTGGCAGGTTGCTGTGTAAGGGCAACTGGAACCACTAGCTTTCAAGTAGAATTAAATTGTTTGTTCAGTGTTACAATCTGATTAGGGTATTTTATTATCTCGCCAGCAGGGATTTGGGTCCTGATCCCCCTGCAGCCAGCTGCACAGTGGAGTGTTGAGGCCGTGGAAGATCTAGTTACAGTAATTACTCTCGCGGTTCCCGAGGAACTGCGCTTGCCCCCTCGTCTGATGCAGCGGGTTCCATTAAGAGCTCTGTTCTCCACCTAGCCTGGTGTTCCCTTCTTTCCGCTTGAACCGACAGATTAAACAATTAAAAACAAAATTCTCCTTGAGGCAAACGTGTAATTTTACACGGTGGGTCGGAGCTCACCATCTCTGTTCTGACCTGTGGACACCCGTGTTGGCGTTGACAGGCGTGCTGGTCAGTTTGCAGGCCTAATCGTGACTGGGCCTGGCTTAACCAGTGCGCTCTGCTCACTGGAATCCAAGCATTTAAGCAGCCCATGGGCACAGAAGTCAGGCCCTCGCCTCGCAGAGCCTGTTTCCACCCAGCCGTGTATCTCTTAAAGCCCCAGTAAGTCTGAGTGTGGCATATGTTAGAGCGGCTAAATCCGAAAAAGAAACCTCAGCTTGTCAGTATTTCTTTCTGACGAGTTAGACTTCATGTAACTAACACAGCACTCTGCCGCTGAGTGCCTCACACTGCTTGATGATGGGTTCCAGAGCTTTCCGTGTGCCCCTTTCCAGCAGCGGTTGAGTAAAACAGATAGTGCTTGGGTCATGGTGGCTGCGGCTGCAGGTTCTCAGTGGCTGTTGTCGGTCGTCTGTAGCTGTCATCTCTCACTCAGGGTACCGTCCTTGACAGAATTGACTACAACGTAGAGCAGTCCTGTGCCAAGACCGAAGATGGCCTGAAACAGCTTCACAAGGTAATGCCGTGTGTTTCCACAGCTGAGAGTTCGGGGAGCCGTTCTCGAGTACCCGGGACACGGGAGGGGCTCGCAGCGGCGGGGCGTGCGGGAGCGCCCTGGGTCTGTGTAGGCGGTGCTGACCGCGGGGGACCTGGTCACCCTGCTGCAGGGAGCCACTCCACGGGCGCCTTGCACCTGGATTCGAAAATTGCTGAGAAGTGACAGGAGATTATAAAGGAATGGGGCATTTCTTCCTTTCAGAAATTATTTCGTTCTTCGGCTCTTCTTGTTTTAGGAAATCAAGGGAATGGGCGTTTGCTAGGTCGAACATTCTGTCCACTTGTTGCTGCCGACTCAGGTCTCTCTTGCTGTGACGCATTTCTGATGCATTGCTGGCAGAGGATTGTTCTGGAGCAGATAAAAATCTCATTTTCCCTTTTAGTTACCGCAGTATGTCTGTGTGCCACCTTGAGAAAAGCGTAGTTTGTTGAAGTGAGAGTAGCTCTCTTAGTCTTTGCTAATAAGGTAGCTATTTCTGGGGTATCCTTCATGATGTTTATTGAAAAATAACCAGGAAGCGTCTTAGGAATCTTGTCATCAGTGGTGAGAAACGTCCAGAGGCACTGAGCAGCCCCCTGTGTAATTGGGAGCGCCGTTTCTTTAAAAGGAACAGATGCTCGTACTTCGCAAATACAGCGAGTCCCGTTGAGGCCGTGCGATGGCTGCAGCCATGTAAGGAGCGTTTTTCCCGCCCGCACGTGGACGGCTCTGCCGCCGTTCGGAAGCCGGTTGCTCTCCACGGCAGGGCGGCCCCGTCTGACGATGCACCAGCTTTACGGGGAGGGAACCCTGCGCCTCCCTTCCCTGCGCTGGCGGCCGCGGCGGAGCACGGGTGACGCCGGCGCACGGTGGGAGGGAAGGGCCTGCCCCGGGCGAGCAGAGGCTTCTTGAGCTGCCGAACCTTCGGATGAAAGACTGATAACCAGCTTGAGTTTTCTGCCCTGAAACACCCACTTTCTGATACGCTGTTGAATTATGCATTGGTTTTGAAGTTTCTTAAATAAAAGCTAACGAGACATGTTTTGTAATAAGGCGCAGATAAAGGGCAGAGCTTTCTCTGCAGGAGTGTACAAATCCAGTGGGAACTAGAAGTTTTGTTTTGGGTTCTACTTTATAAATCACTTTGAGAAGCTTTAAAGTATATCATTTCAGATCGGCTTCCCTGGTGTTCTAGGTTCCGTATTATTTGCTCCAGCTTCCCCCTCCGGTCACACGGCTGTCAGTGGCGTGGCTGGCCGGTCCCCTGGCGGTCCCCTCATCGGAGGAGGATGGAGCCTGGGGCTGGTTCCGCACGGGCCGGACTCTGCAGATGGGTTAATCTGCCTGCCCCGATGTTTCCTCCTGGTTGTTGAGTGGCTCCCCGTGGGTGTGTAGGCTCCCTTAGGAAACAAAACCACCAGTCAGAAGGTTGATGGGGACCACGGAGGTAAAGCAGAAGAGATTGGATATTCTTAGACGTTTCCATCAGGCTGTCTCCTTCGTGTCCTTCCCTGTGAAGGAGCATCACCTGGGGAGGGTAACCTTGCAGCTCCCTCCTCGGCCACACTCCTCTCCCGGGTCAGTCCCCAGGAACCCAGGTGGGGCGTTTTTGTGTGGAGCACAGCAGGCGTGGTGTGAGTGAGGGCGTCCCCCTCCTTGCCCCCGCCGCCCAGCCCTGCCCGGGGCCTCCAGGCTGCTGTGGGCAGGGGAGGAGTGCAGCGGGTGCTGAACTCTGGAAGCTCCTGTCCATTGTGCTGGCGGAAGCACTGCGGGCGAGCGACTATCTCAGGGAGGCTCTTCGTGCTCTGAGACCCGTGGGGCGTACTTCCACACTCCTGTTGCTGCAGAGGGGTGTTCCTGTTTCCAGCATCGGGAGGCAGAAAACGCCCCTCTTGGGGGCCGTCAGTTCATACACACTGGCTGGGGTGAGCTCAGCCCGTTGTTGGAGGTCATCACGAAGGATGACCCAAAAACTGTGTCCAGAAACAGGAGGCGCTCCTCAAAAGAGTGGCTCCTTGGGGTCAGTGGAAGGGGGAGGAGAAGCAGGTCCACCCAGCCCTGGGGTGGAATCTGGGGCTCCTGCCGCCAGCCTGTGTCCTTTGTGGGCCCGGGCTGGCTCCCGTGTACCCAGGGTAGCTGGGTAGCTCCGGCCTCCTGCAGGCTGTCCGCCCGCATTGAGGAACGTGCTAGAACTGGCGGCAGGGCTTGTCGTGACGTGACGTAGCCTGTGGCAGAGAGGCCAGAGATGCAGACAGAGCCGCAGGCCCAGGACTGGAAGACTTGATTTTGGATTTTTGGGAAAATGACAGCCTTTTTCCCCTCTCTCTATAGGCAGAGCAGTATCAAAGGAAGAATCGGAAGATGCTTGTGATTTTAATATTATTTGTCATCATCATTGTCCTCATTGTTGTCCTCATCGGCGTGAAGTCTCGCTAGGCGTCCGTGGGGCTGCGTGTGCCACCCGCATGGCCTCCCGGGCGTGAGGGGCGTGGCCACCCCGCGGGCACAGCAGAGGCGCGGGCTGTGGACCGCGTGGGGGCCTCAAGCGCCGGCCTGGACTCCTCGTCACAGTCGTGCTCAAGCAGAGGGAATGGGCTTCTGGTTTTCCTTCGTTGTCAAGAATTTAAGGACCTTTGCTACTGCTGCAGGATAGAGATTGAGCAGTGTTATCAGTCATAATATATATTTTTTTTAGAAAGAGAAAATGAGTTGAATGTTTACAGGCACTCCACAAGCTGGTCGATACTGTATGTGCATATGTTATTTTTTTAGCTGTCATGTCGGAGCAACATGTTAAAATAATTTTTGGAAACATTTTTTAAAAACCATCTGGTTTTTAAGAAATTTGGTACCAAAAATTTGTGAGTAGAGGCAAAAATGCCTCTTCATCTTTCTTTGTATGTTTTCCAGTTGAAAACAAACTGAGAAGTCCTTTAAGAATTTATAATCCATTCCCCATTAACTTAATTTAGCTTTTCCATCACTGTTAATGATCAGAGTAACAAAGTGTGAAAAAGAAGAAACCATCATTGATGGTAATTAACACATTTAGATGGGCCGGTTACAACGGCCTCATAAGTTTGAGTTAACTGTAAATGGGCTGTTCCTCATCCAGAATCCGTGCCCTGCATCTTCTACTGTAAACCAAAAGGGGTTACTAAACAAAACCACCTAAACTTAGAAGTTGCTAATTCAAACCGACCTCACCAGAAAACATGCAAATGGAAGATGGGCAGTGTCATGGAAGTCACCAGAATCAGCCGGTGTGTCCCTGTGCTCGTCCCCAGCTGTCCTTGCTCAATCCATTACTTCTATACTAACCACATAATGGCCTGTTCAAACCAGACACCATTTAATGAACTGTGAATTTACACACAGGCCGTTCTGAATGGGCCGCCCCATTTAGGATTAGTGGATCTCAAATTATTAACCAAACATCACTCCGTTTCAAAGTCAAATACTCCACCAGTGGTATGATTTATCAGCTCCTTCACTGCTGCTAATGTGCCCAAGAAAGTAGGCATGTTCCTGCAGATTGTGAAAATCTGGATTAGGAAATCCCTTCTTTGCGTGAGCATGAATCAGATCGCCAAAGCAAGACTTTGCCGTTTACTTACCTATTGTTAATATGGTGCTCGAATATATTTCTAGAACTGTAGAATAATGTGGAAAGTGATGGCGACTTTGAAAGCTGAAGTTGTTCATGTTTTATTGGGTCTTGAGACACCAGTATCTTTTTAATGGTCTTTGTATAATTTCCGATGGCTTTTCCATTGTTTTTTTTTACCTCTCCTAAAAAGTTTGAGAGGAGCATGACTTCATTAAATGTGCCGTGCTTTATTTGGATCAGTCACATAAAATATCTCTTTAGGATTGACTTTCAAGTAGGTTTCTGGAAACTTAAACTCAAGTCCAGAGGTTCAAGTCATCCAAACAGATCGTGGTCTTAATACCCAAACCCACGTCCCAGCCTTCCCTTCCCAAGTCGTCTGTGACTCCAGGAGGCCACTGGTTTTCATATTACTGCCGTGACTGTAGAATGATCTAGAGGCACCCCTGGCATTTCAGGAAATCACGTGGTATTCCCTGACAGACAGTTATTTATTGGGAAAAAGGTCGGGAAATATGAACCCCCACCTCCTGGGTCACCCCCGACACGTGGGGCTTCTCCAGACCTCGTGAGGAGCTCTAGGCACTCCTTACTCACAGCCGAGTCGAATCCGGTGGCAGAGTCTGGGTGTCCTGGAGACCAGCTTCCCCGAGGAGCAGGGCTGCGCCGGGCAGGGCTCTTCCCTGCCCGACGGCCTCCAGTGGCACTCCTGGATGACTGGTGGAGCTTTTAACGTGCTCAGTCTTACCCTTGAAGGAAAGTGACCCTTTAAGAAAGGATCCCACAAGAAAGAAGGGACCGCCATTTATTTATGTTTATTTTCAGTTAATAGGGGTGATCGGGGTTGGTTTTTGCTCCCTACCCCCTCACCCCATTTGGGTTAAATAATAGAGCTAACACACGTGGTGTCAAGGATCTCGAGTGGTCTGAAGCCGGCGCGGGGCCAGCAAAAGCCCCACTGGCTGCTGCCATTGCCTTGCCCCACGGCGGGAGGCCGCCCCAGAGCCTGGCGCCAGCGGGCCCAGCTCCTCGAAACACTGTATTTTTCTTTTGAGCCTTTATTAGGGAAAGATCAGCAGCCTTGGGGCAAGTAAGAGAAAACTGGTAATGGAGTCCCGGTCCCTCAGGGTCATTCTTCCCCTCTGAAGGAGACGGGCTCCTGCAGACAGCCCTCGCGTGCGAGAAGGTCGAGGCATCCCTCCGTCGGGCTCTGGTCACGAGCCTGCGGTGCGAGCAGAGAAGAGGGCCGGCAGGGAAAGCTCCGTTCGGGCACCCCTGGGCTCAGCCCCGGACACCTGCCCCCTCCAGCAAGTCCTGGGGTGGTTCCTTGGATGGCACCGGAGAGGAGAGAAGTCAGTGTTGACCGTGGGGTCTCCAAAGCTCCTGATCTTTCCCGAGATTGTAACTGAAATCTACTGTCTCTTCTTGTATTAATTTGGGGGCGGGGGGTGCTGTCTTCGCCATGGACGTGAAGCAGTGTATGTCTCTAATTTAACGGATTTACCGCTTTCTCTGCTAATTGAGAGAGCATTATTTATTTGTTTTGACACAAGTGCTTTCAGTGTTTTATCCTAGCTAATGGCTTCTTAAAGGTAATAAAACCCTTCCAACCTAATTGGTCAGATAAGACTTTTCTTCTTGTGTGCTTAAATAAAGCAATTAGTGAAGCGCTTCTATCCAAAATGACTTTTTTTTGTCCTTTTTTAAAACTAATTTACTGTTCCTGGAAACTTTTTGTACAATAAAGCAGTCGTGCGGATTAAAGAACATGCTGCAGTCCTCATATTAATTTTAACGACGGGGCTTGCGTTTCTTCCAATGCGTCTGTGTTCCGGGAGGGCCTGGTCCATTCTGGGATCGTTTGGGCCAATGACTCTTTGTTTGGTGTCTGAGGCCTTGCCTGTGTCTGAAAGTCCATCCATCTGCCGGATGGATGCGCGCGGAGGGACCGATCTGTCTGCTGTCCAGCATACAAAAGGGAAACTGCCGAAAAGGCAGACAACTACTTTTCTTATGAAAATGTATGCTTCATACACATACCCAGAAACACTTGGGAGATCTTCAAGTAAAATGTAGTCCGTGTGCCTTGCTGAGAAATCCTACTACAGCCAGGCTCCAGGAGACTGGAATTTCTAAGTGCCTTTAGATGTTTCCTGTTCTGTTACACCGAACACTTCAGGGATGGTCTTTGCCAGCTAAACCCAGAGCTAGGCCCACACTTTCACCCGGAACGTGTCCGCGTCCGGGCTCCTCCTCAAAGGCTGGGGTGGGTCTTTGTCACCTAAGCATCGCCTTTCACGTCATCCAGGCATGATGGCGTCTGTCTTCGTGTCCTTAAACCCCAGCGTCTGCTCCGCGGGAGCGGGCTTTCCCGGGAGTCACCGTGGCAAGCCAGGCATTCTGTCCTGCGAGGCGCCTGCTGCCCAGGGAGGTCACTGACCTTCCTTCCTGTTGGTGAACCACACGGAGCGGGTGGCCTTCTCCTGTCGTGCTCGCTCCTTGCTTTTTTGGCTAGAAATTCTATCTCCCCAACTTGTTCAAAGCCCACTGGCCCTGTCCAAGTATCGAACCTGCCCCTCAAAGGATAGACACTTGCCTCAGGCTTCAAGAACATTCTGACCAGTGATAACCTTGAAGGAGCCCTCCACCCTGGATGGGACAGCCGTGTAAGTGGCGATGCGTGTGAGCAGACTGTGGGCTCTGTGTGTGTGGGGGGGGGTGCCTCCTGAGCGGTCACCTCAGGGGGTCAGGTTTCCAGATGAATGTCTGGTGGTTCCCTCTGGAAATGGCGCTGCAGGTGTGTGCAGATAGCAGGGCGCGACGAAGGCTCGGTCCTGGCCCTCACGTGCGACCGGCCCAGAGGCGCAGGAGCGTGGGCCATGGGGTGGTTCCTCCCGAAGGCCCGCACTGACGGAGGAGGGCAGGCTGGTAGAGACGTGTCCTGCTGAAATCCGTGCACCTCCTCGAAGAGCTCTGATCGTCACCCAAGGAGCGAGTGACCTGAGGTTCTTCCTGGTCTCTCCTCCCTGCCACAAAACAACTCACTTGCCTGGTATAATTTGTGGGTAAACTCGGTGGGATGGCGTGTTATTCTAACATGCTGGCTTAATTTTGGCCATCAGGCTCCCTTATTCTAGACAAAACCTGTGGGCGCCAGATGGAGAGGTCTGGGTAATGTCTTCACAGGAGGGATGTCTGGTAGTCGGGAGCACGGGGGACAGGACAGGGCTGCAGGGGGACCACCGGACCGATCAGTTATTGTGAGTCCCACTGTCTCCTAGGATTTGGGGAGGCAAACTTCTTCGTTTGATATTGGCTGCAAGTGAAACAGCGGCGTGCGCACGTACAGACGTGGGATTCAAGTCGTATATCTGTGCACGCGCGCGCGTGTGTGTTAGCCCTTAGCATCTCCGAATTTCCTCTCTCCAGATTCCCTTGACCACCCAGATGCCACCTCTGACTTGTTGCCTGATGTTTCCATTTCATTTGTTTTGAAATGGAGGGCAGTGGCGGGTGTGGGGGTGAACTCACATGGACTCCGGGCGGGCACACGCAGAGACTAGGGCTCACCTAAAAGCGTTCCAGACTTAGGACTCGGAATTAGGGGACATCAGCTGGGTCCCCTGTGCTCCTTGCCCCAACCGCACACCACCCTCCCCGTCATTCTACCCGTCTCCGGCCAGACCTCCTTCCCCCCCACCTCCCTCCAACGGACATTCCACAGAGTCGTTATGGCAGAAACTTGGGCACAATTATCTGGTCAGTTGAGGCAAAAGAAAATAATCATTTGTCCAATTGTCCCAATTAGCTCTCTGGACTGTCCTGAATGCTCAGGATAATTGCGTGGGCCTCCCGTTCAGCTCTGTGATCTGGCTAAAACGGATCATGGAAATGAGACTCCGTTCAGTACAATGTACATTTAAATTAGACTTAGTCAAAGTAGACCACTGGGTTTAGTGCTTTCTGTTTGTCAACTATTATTCTAAAATTGCTTTAGCTAGTCATCCTGATTCTGCCATTAGTAATCGCTGTTTCTCTCGTTTCATAGATGTAGTGGAGGCAAAGGGGGCTCTGGTTTGCATCATTTGGTGTTTCTTGGAGGAAGTGCCGAGGGAAGCATGTTTTTTTGACTTGGTGTTCTGACTCGGGACCCCACAACAGCCCTCCGCTTCCACCGCCGCTCCCCCAGCTCCTGCCCCTACTCCCCGCCGCCGCCGCCCCAGACGGAAACCCGAGACCCGAGACCCGTCCCAGGGCTTGCTGGCGAGGTCACAGGACCAGTACCACCCAGGGCTGGAGCTAGAACCTTCGAGCTTCTCCTTTCCAGACCAGTACTGTTGCCGCTTATGCCACTTTAGTTGTTCATTTCTTTCCATAAAATTAAATGACCTTCTTCCAGAGAGATTTAATGGTCAAGATGGGATGTGCTAAAGGCTCCTCAAGGACTTTTTTCCTTATTACGAAGATGAGACCAGACAGAGGCTGGGAGAGACTCGCAAACAGTGGTATGCCATTATCCTAGTTCAGTTTCTCGTGTAATTGGTGTGAAGAGATTGCTGCTGACTAATCCCACCGCCGGACAGAAAGCAGCGGCCCTTGGGTGACATGACGTGGCATGCGGACGTGTGCAGGGTGGCTGTTGACGGAAGGCATGTGTGTGCGTGTGTGTCTGTGTACCCGGCGCGCTCCCCGACATGGAGAATGTCATTTTAAAGTTGTAAATAATAAAAAATAGGCTGGAGCAAAACTGATGGTACAATTGCCTGAGAATGTGGTACTTCATTTCCACACTATGCAATGGCTAGAAATTGATTTTTTTTTTTAAATCCAATTAAGCCTCAAGGTTGGTTATCCGTTTAAAAGGTCGGCTGAGTTAAACAATGACAGAACCTTCAGTTCATGCTAATAATTAAATTTACACAGAACTCGGGCACTTGCATTGTGCCTCGCGGAGGCGGATGTCGTGTGTGTTGCACAAAAACGCGCGGCAAAAGCCCCCAGGGGTGGTGCCCACTCGCCAGCCATCGGGACCCCTGCCGGGACCCCTGCCCGGGGCAGCCCACGCCTGGCCACGGGCCCTGGCACTCCTTCCCCTCAGGTTCCCACAGCCCGCCCTGGAGAGCCCTGGTCCCCAGCTCACCTCCCGCCCTCCCCTTCCTCCAGCCCCCGGAGCCTCGGGACACAGAAAGTAACCTCGTTTAAAGAGGAAAAAAAGAGGGGCTCCTGGTCTGTGTGCCCTTGGCGCATGCCCGGAACTCTTCGGTCTCACGTGCTACGGAGTTTATACCGTGGTAAGCAAATCACGTTTTAAAAATAGCCCTTTAGGGGCGCCTGGGTGGCTCAGTGGGTTAAGCCGCTGCCTTCAGCTCAGGTCATGATCTCAGGGTCCTGGGATCGAGCCCCACATCGGGCTCTCTGCTTGACAGGGAGCCTGCTTCTCTCTCTCTCTCTGTCTCTCCCTGCCTCTCTGTCTACTTATGATCTCTCTCTGTCAAATAAATGAATAAAATCTTAAAAAAAAAATAAAAATAGCCCTTTATAGGTGCGTATTGACTCTGTGTTCCCAACGTGTTAAGAAAAAGACTCCAAAATGTCTTTTTATGGTTCTCATAGGTGATGTTTAAGCGTTTGAATTGGTGAAGACGTTAGGAGACCCGGGACCCCGATTGGAATGCTTTTTATTCTGTTTGGGTTATAATGTCACTTCAGTTTTGTAAATCGCTGAGTGGGGGTAAGTGATCTTATTTCAAATCTAGCATTTTAACCTGCATTGTAATGTAAGTAAGGTCACTCCAATTCAGTACTTTCCGTCTGTAACTCTGAACCAGCCTGAAAGATGGAACCTTCCAGATTTAGTGAGAAAAAAATATGTATGTATATTTCTGTGTGTGTGTGTGTGTGTGTGTGTATGTGTGTTGAATTTCCCTCTCAGGGTCCTTAAGAAAAACCAACAATTCCTGCTTAATGTTTCGTCCGCCCCCCCCTTAACCTCATGCTGCTCAGCTCCCAAAAGCCTCTGCAACAGATTTGTGATTCTTTTTTACTTTTTATAAGATCCGCGTTTAGATAATGCCGACAGACGTGTGGCTTTAAAAAGAAGGTGTTTCTGGAGGAAAGAATGTGACTCGGGTTTTTGAAGATGGACTCATTTTTGATGCTCTGGAGAGACAGACTATTCAGGAGGATCCTATAAGGGAAGGTTTTCCTAAAGAAAAGATTTCTTGATCCTCATCAACATTTCCCCCCTCCTTCTGCCTTTCTGTACACCTTCATTTCCATACAGAGTCGCCTCAAGGAACACAGAACCACCTTGGGTCGGTTAATTACCTCTCTCCCTCCTTCCCTTCCCACAGCCACCCCCATGCCGAGGCTCTAGATTTTCCACATTGCCCTTGAAAACTTCTGCAGCTACAGAAATGATTTTGCTGGTGCTCAGAAATCAACAAGAATTTGGTCCCCAAGACAAGGAGGGTTATTCCTGTCCGACAAGGTGGGCTTCCTGGGAAGATAATTTAGGCTGCTAGAACGGCAGGGGACTGCCCAGAGCTACTAGCTCAACCCCTCATTTTATGGAAAAGTCCAAAAACTGATGTGGGAAGGAACGCTTTTTGTTGTTAATAAGTGGTTTCTCCAGCACATTTTTATTAACACTGTTCTCTCATCGCGCTGATATCAGAAGGTAAAAAGCGCTCTAGATGAAATCACAGAATGTGCTTTTCAAGCAAAGTGCGAAAGATTACATGCAGTGCACCGTCTTTTGTATCGAG